CTAGGATTAAGGGTGTGAGTGCTACTCACCCTTAGATGCCTGGATAGGATACAAGGGATAGGGCTGGGGATTTAGCTTAGTGGTGCCGATGCCTGCCTCACAAGCAAAAGTTCCCAAGTTCGATCCCAGAAACAAACAAAAAAAAAAAAAAAAGATACAAGGGACAGGAAGAGCTGCAGTCATTTCTTGTTGCTTTGCTGCCTTCTGCCCTCTATGAACAGTTTCTCCTCAGCCAAGCCACCCTGCCTTGGAGCCAGATGATTACGGACAGAAACCTCTACAAACTGAGAGCTAAATAAATCTTTCCTCTTTTAACTTTGAGTATCTGGGTATTTTGTCTCAGCAACAAGAAAAATAACTAAGACAGAGGCCAAAAAAAGAATTAAGTGTGTTATGTACATGTACACATCCCCAAGAGGAATGTGATCATACGTACTACAGACCTGTACTAGTGAAAAAAGAAAGAGCCACACATGACCAGTGGCTGCCATACTGGGGAGTGCAACTTCGCTTTATTGACACTTGAGGCTGTGCAGATTAGCACAGCAAATGAGTGGCATTTCCTTTCACTGGTGAAATGGTGGCTTCTGGAATAGCTTGGATATTTAACATGGGCTCCCATAAGTGAAATTAAAGATATGGAAGGAAAAAAGCCCTGTCCCACGGGAACACCTGGACTCCCGTACAGCTCATCCCTCTGTGCCTCAGTTTCCATACTTGTGAGGTAAGGGTGCTCAGCTGCCCCGGGACTGGCACAGGGAGTGGGTCACTGTGATTATTTCACGGCCTGGCACGGGGTGATGCGCTCCACCAGTAGGGATGTAGCGCTAGGACTTGGCCTCCTGCCACACTCAGCTGCTGGTTAAGTTTAAACTTAAAATGAAAGCCAGGCTAAGCCACCCCTAAAACACATGTTATTATCCCTTAACCCAGAGGCCTCTAAAGCATCCCCAGGTCAAGGAATCAGGGTATAGCTCAGGAGCAGAGCACTTTCCAGGGCCCCAGGGTCCACAGCCAACCCCCAAAACAAACAGACAAACAAAAGCCTGCAGGTCAGGAAAGTCTTCCTTCTCCCTTTGCCTCCAGTCAGCTGAGGAGAAAAAAAATCTCAGCTCTCCCGATGAGACGCCCGTGCCCAGGCTGCCCTGTCCTGCTTCAGGATGCGGCCCTCAGCCTCGAAACACACCACTGCTTCCATAAACAGCAACGGCTGGCCTCCTGGTAGCATTTGCTGTGTGCACTGCTTTAGGGCTTAGTATGAATTACTCCACGGAATCTCCCTGCCCTCCTACAGTGCCATTTTCACTGCTGTGGATTGAAATCTGGGCCTTCACAGTGAGCTACATCCCTGGCCCTTTTTCATTTTTTATTTTGAGACAGGGTCTTCCTGAGTAGCTGAGTTGACCAGGTTAGGCTTGAACCTGTCATCCTCCTGCCTCAGCCTCCCAGAGTGCATTATTTATCACTATCCTCCCTTTTCCAAAAAGAAAACAAAGACCCTTGCTCTGGATTACAGGGCTACAGCAACAAAGCTAGGATATGACCCCACAGTTTGTGTTTTTAACCACCATGCTGCCTCCTAGTGAGAACGAACATGCCCGAGGCATTTCTCTAAGGTCTTTATTTCTGCTGTGGTAACCCTCAAGTAAGAACTATTATTATCTTTGCTTACAAATGATGAAACTGAGGCATAGAGGGGTGAAGTAACTTGACGTGGTGGCTCATCAGCATTTGAACCCAGCATTCTGCAATTCACAAGGTCTGGGTGCTCCGGATCTCAGGAAGGTGCAACTAGGAGAAGAAAGGAGAGGACTCCCAGCGGGCCCTGGGGGCCATCGAGGCATGGGAGGATGCTCCAGGCAGGCTGGGGTGGCCCGACGGAGGGTGGGGCAGGGGCTGAAGCCAGTAGGGCCCTTGCATCCTCAGTAGGAGCCTGCACTTCACTTGGGCAGGTGCAGCCCTGGGGATCTGCAATAGGACCTCTGCTGAGGGCAGGCAGGACGCACAAGGGAAAGCGAGGAACCAGAACCGACAGAGCAGAGAGCAGCGAGCAGCGTCCTGTCCAGGCCACTCCAGGCCTGGGCAGAGCCGCAGAGCCAGGCCGGAAGTCAGCATGGCTAAAGTGGGGCAAAGAGAAGAGAGTCCTGGTTTTCTTTTCCCCTCTCTCTTTTTAAATATGGGCTTCAGGTATTTAATTCAAGAATAAGTACCTTTTATGGCTGGGGTTGCAGCACTTGCCTAGCATGTCTCAGGCCCTGGGTTCCATCCCCAGAACCACAAAAAAAAACAAAAAACAAAACAACTTGCCAGCTATTTTGAGAGTGTGCAGTTCCCTGGCAGCTGCCCCAAAGCAGGCATCCCGCCTCCCTCTCCGGGGCTTTTCTTCCTCCCAGGAAGCCTTCGTGGGCCCAGCAGCCGGGGAAGCCCAGGACAGCGCCAACTACAGCGCGCAGGCCCCGCTCAGCCGGGCCGGGCCAGGCCGTTGGAGGGGCAGCCGGCAGAGGGCGCTCCTGCCCGGCCCAGGCTGCCGCAGGCAGACCCGTCTCCCGCCAGCTTCCAGGTGGGGGCGCTGGGAGCAGGTAGGGGCAGCTGCGTGTCCCCGCTTATTAAACCACAGCGCCCACGAGGGGGCCGTGGAGAACATGGGAGGAAAACCGGCCCAAGGGGGAAACCAGGAGACATCACCCGGAACGGGCAGAGGGTCAGAAGGAAGGGCAAAGCCCGGCAGGTCCAGCAAGGACAGCAGGGCAGGCCCGATCCTCGGCACCCCACGTGCCCCACGCGCCTCCGCGGATAGAGCGCGGCCGGCAGCCCTGGGTCCCTTCCGCGCCCGCCCGTGGGAGCTCTCACGTCGTCAGAGTGCTCTCTGAGGTAAACGAGAGCTATGGAAACTGGTAAATATTTTGCCCCTCCAAAGGAAGGTCAATAGATTTATACCCTGGTTTATTTCCCTGAAGGAAGATCTTTCTAGGCTTTATTTTAAAAGTTTAAAAATGCATTTAATGGAAATGTTCTTTTATATCAGATTTTTGTTCTGTCTGTGCTTTGAAAGGAGAAGCTGAAAATGCAGGTGGCTGGATAAAATATTTGTTTTCAACCATTCAAACTATGTTTTCTGAATAACTAAAACTGGCTGTGCTCTCTACCAAGTTTTTTATTAATTTCAGGTTACTTGATTTTTTTAACACATTTATAGACTGTCTCAGCATCCAAAGTATTGTGCTACTTGGACAGATTCCTTGTACAACTTGAATGCCTATTCTAATGTGCTGGACTGAAGGTGAGGAGAGCGGCAAAAGGAGAAAAAGAGTCAAAGAGGAGCCGGGAGGGCATTGGAGACTCGAAGACACTAAGGTAAAATTCACAAGCTTCCTGCTTGCTGGATGCTACAGACACCTGACATCCTTCAGCCAGAAGCACTTTGCAAACAAGCTCACGTCACCTCACAGAATGCCAAGAAACAGGGCAGAGGCCATTCCTGCCTTGCTCTGAAAGCAAGCACTTCATGGCCAGAGGCAAAATCTGCCTGGATTACCCTGGGTGCCAGTACCATGTGTAAACCCCACGCAGCATGCAAGCCCTGCAGGGGCCAGGAGCTATACAGATCAGGGAGAGGAAAGTGGGGCTCCAGCCCTTACTTGGGGAACATTATGGTACAGGCAATTATTTAATTTGGTAGCTTGAAATATGCATGGAGTACGGCTGGGCGTCCCTCCTGGCCCAGCCATTCCACAGTGTGAACAAGTGGGGTCACCAGGGTGACTCCCAGCGGCTACAGCAGAGCAGATGCGACCCACCAGCAGTTTCTGGAGCTCACAAAACATCCTGCTCACTTGGAGTTTCGATCATGGCTCCCCTGAGGTCACTGGCAGGGCCAGGACACTTGGCTGAGCTGGGGCTGTGAGCAGCAATCCCAGCCTCGTCACCTGGTGCCATCTGTGCTTCCGTCTTCCCTCCTCGAGAGGTGTGACACGCAGTGCTTGGGGAGGAGCAAAGAAAGAGATCTTTACAATGGCTCACAATGTCAGGCGCAGAATAATGGAGTGCCTGGAGTGATCATTTTCATCACTCTGTTCTCTGGGTTGGTCAGCTAGCCTTACCACAAGTTTTCCCAGTTGTAATTAAATACAAGAGTAAACCACCTGGCCTGTCCACTAAGTGACAAAGGTCCCCGTGGTGACACTGGAAATGCCAAGTCTTGAGTGCAGCTCACAGTCATGGAACATTCTCCTTTCTAGAAGCCAAAGAGGCTCCTACATCTGCCATGCTCGGTGGTGTCACTGGCAGGGAGAAGCATGGAGAGATTTGCACATAAAAACACAGGGCTCGGGCTGGGGATTTACCTCAGTGGTTCCGCCACCTGCCTTGTAAGCGCAAGGGCCCGAGTTCAATCCCTGATACCAAAAAAAAAAACCACACAGGGCTCTAGATGGCGAGACAGGCATGGATCAGTGCAGGAGAGAGAAGACTGCCGCTGCAGACATGCTGTGGGAGTCGGATAAATACCCTTTCGGAGTGTCCCATTAACTCTGAAAAAGCTTAAAGTATTGATGGCCCAGTGAACCCCCGACAGATTCACCCAAAGAAGATGCAGCGCAGGGCAATGGTGTATACTAGAAAGAGCAAGATCCTCGGGGTCAGGGAGAACTTCAAATTCTCAGTCCGACTTCCAACTCCATCTCTTACAAACTGTGTCCATGGGCAGGTTACTGAGCTCTTTGAGCCTTAGTTCCTCATAGAGGTTTTGTGAGTAATGTAGCGTATCCTAGTGTATTCTATAGAATTCTAGCCCAAAGGAATCACACACACATACACACACACACACACACTGTGGTCAAATAAAAGAAGTAAATAGCAGAAGTAACAACATTCTTCTTAAATATTTGCAACGTGCACTAGTACAGTGAAAGAACTAAAACATGGTGCAATGAAGGAATTGGCTCAACTCTGTGTAGCTAGTGTCCTTTAAACCTGCTCAGCCACAAGTCGCTTTTGCAAAAGACATCTTTGAAAAACAGGGAGAAAATGAATAGATAGTGGCTGGCGTAATCAGGAGCCACAATATATCTCAGTAGTGGCAGGGACCACCACATGATGCACTATTTCCCTTTACTGCCTGTATTATTCTATGTACATAAATATGATAATAAAAAATAGCAATAATGTGACTGTAACACTTCAGTGTTTGGTCCCACAGCTAACGTGACAGACCCGGGATTTCACCCAAGATCTATGGACTCCAAAGCCACTGTGCAATACTAGCTCCTCGCCCCCAGTGGTCCCCTGAAGCATCAACCCTGCAGGAGCTGGGAGAGGCTGAGCTGGGGGTGAGAGGCAGGACTCCTACTTGGTGCCGGGCTTTGTCCTCCCCAACACACTCCGTGCAGGCCTCCTCAGGAACACAGCTGCCTTCCAACAGGGCATGGTGTGGGGGGCAGAAGCAGCCTTCAGAGGGACGCTCCCCGCAAGAGGTGGTGTTGCCATCACACTGCCGGGGACAGCCGCGCTCACAGTGGTTGTACACCAGGGACAGCGGGCAGGACATTGCTGTGGAGAGAAGAGGAGAACTGTCGGTGCCCTGCACTGGCCAGAGGGAAATGGAGGCATGACTGACACAAGTTGGTGGATTGTGGGACAGACCTGTCAGGGTAGAGATAACCAGCTTTGCAGCATCCTTCTCCCCATCTTGCACAGGAATGGACCCTCAGCTGAGCGCACAGCCCCAGATAAAGGCCACATTTCCCAACCCCTTTGACAGCTAGGCATGGTCACATAACTGAGTTCTGGCCAATGAACTGCGAGAGGAGCGTAATATCCTTTGACAGCCTCCTTTGTCCCCTCTTCCTCCTTCCCCAGCTGCTGGCTGGAATATGCATGTGATATCTAGAGGTCTGTCTTAAACCATGAGGAAAAGGACTACATCCAAGTGAGGTCAGAATCAGCTAGACCACCTCCCTCTGGTCATCTGCCCTGTGGAGAATTGTGGTCATCAAGAGTTACATGTGCCTGTGTGTTGTTATCAAGTTGTTATGTTCCTCACTTTGGAACACAGATGTATTTGACGCTTGACAATCATCTTAAAATTTAGTATTTAAGAATCTACAGTGAGAGCCGGGGATTTAGCTCAGTGGTTCCGCCGCCTGCCTCACAAGTGGAAGGACCCAAGTTTGATCCCTAGTACCAAACAAACAAACAAACAGAATCCACAGCGAGGAAGACTTGCCTCGGCAGAGAGGCTACAAAGGGACTCCCATTTGGACCCTACTTGGCAACTTCCTCATGTGTTGATGGTGGTAAAGAAAGTTTCCAAGGGTTTGGGGCACAGGGGATCTTCTCTGTGTGCACAGAAAAGAGCCAGGATGTACACAGGAAATTGTGGGGCGGGGGGGGCGGGGGGGAGGCGGGCAGAAAGGTGCCGTCAGTAGCTCAGGGCTGACATGTGCCCTGTGGTCTTCAGGCAGGTTGAAGGAGAGAGCAGCACCCACTGGACTCACAGAATCAGAGCGCACAGGAACCCAGGGGCACTTCGTGCAATGCACTGTGTAGAATCGCAGGGCAGAAGGACCAGGAGAGCAGCCAGTCTCCACCAACTGGGCTGAGAGGAGGATGCCCAAGTCCTCCAGCCTTGGGTTAGAGCTGCTGAAACTCTGTGATAAGGAACTGGAGGCTCCAGCACATTTGTATGTACCCATGCCCCTCCAAAAAGTCAGCAATTAGCTGGGCAGGTGGCACACACCTTTAATCTCCACACACTAGGAAGCTGAGGCAGGAGGGCACAAGTTCAAGCCCACCCTGAACTACTGAGCAAGACCCTGTCTACAAATACAAATTTTTATTAAAACTTTAAAAACATGGGTGGCCTGGGAATGTAGCTCAGTGTGAAGGCCCTGGGTTCAATCCTCAGTACCACAAAAAAAGTCAGCAATTATGTTTGCTATAGAATGAGGCTGCTCAAGGTCTTGTCACTCCAGCTCCTTTGAAGCCAGGACCCGAATGTGACTCAGTTTGATATTCCCCACATTTTAAATAATAAATAAGCATCACCTCTCAGTTAAAATGCCTACTTTAAGGGAGCAATATCGACACTAGCAATCCTGAGGTATTTATAACTGAGCAGTGTAATGATTTAGATCTAAACTGTCCCCAAAGTCTCGAGTGTTCAGAGGTGGGGATTTGGAAGGTGAGGGGATCATAGGGGTGCTGTGCTCATCAATGGATTAATCCCCTGGTGAGATCAGAGCTGAATGTGCTATTAGGAGGGGCGCCCAGTCCAAAGAAGTGAGTCATTGTGGGTGTGACCTGGAAGGGTGTATTGTTCCCAGCTCCTCCATTCTATTTTTACTTCCTAACTGCCTTAGGGTGAGCAGCCTTCCTCCTCCAGGCCCTTCCACCATTCTGTTTCTGCCTTGGAGCCAGCCAACTGTGGACTGAACCCACTGAAACCATGCGCCCATAAACCTGTCCTCTAAATTGTTGGATGTTTTGTTCCACCAATGGGAAAGTGACTAATACAAACAGATTCTTAGTAATCTAATGGCAAAATTCCACTTGCCCTTCAAAATCCTGCCCAGGCACAGCCTACTCTGTGAGCTCTTGCTACAGCTTGGCAGAAAAGCAAATTCGATGTGACTGGTTACACAGCACTTTGCTGATGCCCATATGCCTAATGCATTAAATTTACATTTGTATAGATATGGGTTGTGCTTTGGTTTACATAGAAATATGTTCAAAGTATTTATATATCTACCATCATATTTGGTCCTAACAGGAATTGTAAGTTATAGGAATATAGGGGTTTTAATCTTCCATTAGGCAGATAGAGAACTGAGGTTGGGTGAGCCCACAGTTAGTTGCTCTGCGGGACTTTAGGAATAGGTCTGGGGACTTACCACAGAACTCAGCTGTCCTCCAGTCAACACAAACGCCATTGGTCCGACAGAGGTGGGTGTAGGAGGCAATCACCTCACACACTCGCTCCTGCTGACAACCATCCTGCTGGCAGATGGCATAAAATGTGGCCGGGGAAAGAACCTTGTGGCACTCAGAAAACACTGCCGAGAGGAGCACCTGGCAGTGGGAGTTGCCAGAAACAGGACACAGGTCCTCAGGCACTGGCTGGCAGGGCTGCCCTGGCCGCTGCATGGTCCATTCCTGGATGAGTGTTTTCCAGTCTGTGGTGACTGAGCCATTCCTCAGCATGAAGTCATTGGCCCCATTCTCATCACAGATCCCTAGAGACACAAGGCGAGGCTCAGCTGGCAGCCTAGGTGCCAACCACTGATGCCCAAGAGTTGACCCCTCTTCAACCCACCCGGGTTTGTACCTTGCTACTAGGCCCAGAAATATATCACCCAAGATTCCTGAGACTCCACAGCAAGATTTACAAGTGGAGATGGGAAGAGCGGAGAGCGTATTCTTACCACAGAGTCCATACATCTTTGAAGCAAAGGTCTTGGGGCTGAGCTGGAGTTGGAACTCATTGTTTTGTGGTGTGAATGTGAAGATGTGGCCAAGATGGTTGAACCTGACCTCATACATGATGGCGCCATAGACGCTGACTTCCATGTTCCCACCCATGTATGGGACAGGGACAAGTCTCCCATTCACTGCCACCTGTCCAAAGAAGAAAAGGTAGTGCTAGAAATTAAGAGTCCTGGAACTTCACTCTCAGCTTCTTACTGAAGATCTGAGTGTCTGCAAATTCCTCATACTCAACCACCATCTTGGCCACAAACCCTGATGCTTGTCAGCAGTTCTTCCAAAAAGAAAGGGGCTTCACAGAGCTTGACAGGACAAGAGACTGGCAGAAGACTGCACAGTCAGCCACGCACCTGGAGCTTTCGGGGAACCTGGAATCTGTGTGACTCGAAGGGGAAGGGCGACCCCTTCAGGACAGGCTGGGAAAGTTGCCATTTTGCTCGCTTATCATGAAGGATCCCTGGGAGCAACAAACAGGATCCCTTTAGCTCTTCCTGTTTGCGTGTGTGTCTTCCTAGGAACTTTCTTTGGAGGCCCTACCATGTATCATATCAAGCACATTTAAATGTACTCACTCCCTGTGATGAATGGAATTTTTGCTGTATGAATTTTAGAAGGGTTTTTTATCACTTTGATTTTAATATTTTGGCTATGAGTTACTCATTCAATATATGACTAGCTATGATTTTTCAGCAATTATTGTTCATATTCAGGAATTCTTGTAAAGTGAGAAAATCTTGCCTACAAGTTGTTTTCACACAATGAAATATTTATGATTTCTAAATGAACAAGTAAAGTTGGCATAATGTAACCTTTTGTAAACATTTAATCAGACATTTATTTATATCACTTTGGCAGTTTCCATTTCAAACTTTGGAGCCATACATTTTGTTGAGGCCCTAAATATTTTCAAAGGCCCTGATTTAGGGCCTAAATATTTCCCTTTGGAAAGCTCACAGGCTTTAGGCACTGGGCTCATAATGCCTACCAGGGAGCAGCTCTGGTGCCAGCCCCAGTTCTCTACCAATGCCAGAAACTGGCACTAAATTCATAATTTAATGCTATCTAAAATTGACTCGCTCTTCCAAATCTGAGCCCAGAACAACAGGAAATCATGCCAAGACAAGAGAAAAGCAATAAACCCCTGGAAAGAAGGCGGCACTCCACAAACAGGCAAAGGCTGAGTCCCTAAGAGCAGCACCAGCTGAAACCAGCGGCCACCAGCTCCATGTGGCTTCACTGATGTGCTGTGCATGCCAGGGTCCCCACGGGAAGCACCTCTCACCTCCATGTCGCTGTGCAGCTCAACCGAGAGGCCCCCGTGCTTCACTTCAATGGACTTCATACAGACTGGTGTTGACCCAGGGCTGCAAGCACCATTGTGCAGAATCACCTCCAGGTCTTGCTCTTTGTTTTGAAACAAGGCATAGGAACAGCTGCCAGTCAGCCTGAAATTCTGCCCATCAAAGGTCACGATATGCCGAGTGGAGCTGCCCGTGCACACACCTGGATGGGGAACAGCAGGGCGGTTGCAACATTATCCAAAACTCCATCCTGCAGCATGCAGAGGGCAGTGTGACCAGCCTGTACCCAGCCCGGTACAGCGTGGCCTCCAAGGGCTCCTGGGAGTCCTACAGCCTAATCCCTTCCTCATTACAAATTAGGCTTTGAGGTAGAGAGGGCCAAGTAAGTAACACATGGCCATTAAATGTTTTCCTGGAGAACGTTTAGAAGGAAAACTGTTCCATAAAAATGTGGCAAGTTATAGAACCACACTTCCAAAAAATGTGCATATGCAAAGTGAATGATCCACTCCATAGGGATGCTTTGGCCCAGGAAACAAAGCTAAGTTCCAGGGGTGTTATGGCTCATGGAAATCATGAGGAGCTAAGCAAGTTGTGAGCTTATGATCTCATTGTGAAGAAAATGCACCTAACCACACGTGTGTCCATTCAGCGGCCAAGTGACTAATGGTGCAAGAGGCTGTGTGGACTTTATCCCTTAAGAGATTGCACAAGAGAAATATTTCTGGTGCCAAAACAAATGGTTGGGTCTCAGAGCTCCCACATTTGACCCTCATTCATTCACAGGATCAGCAAACCATCAAGATTTCTCTGAAAGTACCATTTGTGAATATTAATCATTGTGTGGCTACATAAGATGATCAGGTAAAATTTCCCACTTTGAAGGTACCACTGCCACCAATAACTCAAAAGCTAATTTTGGACCTCTGTGGAGTTGGAGATGAGCTTCCCAGACAAATTACAATGACATCTACAATGGCAGGAAAACAAAAGCCCAAGAACAAAGCAGCAGGCTCAGCAGGGCAGAGGCCACGCCAGCATCCTTCCCTCCTTGCTAGCCCTGGGGCTCCTCCACCCACACAGAAACTGTCCAGGTAGCACAGCCACTGACAGATAACAGGTATGGATGCACCATTTCTCACCACTGAGTGGCCTCCCCAGAAGTTCTTCCACTCCAAAGCCCCCAGTTCCTTAAGCATTCAGTCATTTCTAAGTGACAGGACTGAATGCTACTGATCTGCTGGCATCTTATTGCACATGACCCCATTTATGGTTGAGTAAGTGTCTCCCAAAGACCATGTGTTGAAAGCTTGGTCCCCAGTCTATGGAGCTACTGAGAGGTGGTGGAACCTTTAAAAGGTGGGGCCTAGTGGGAGGAAATAGGTCATTGGGGGTTTGGCCTTGAGAGGATATTGGGACACTGGCCCTTTCTTCTCTCTTTGCTTCATGGCTGAAAAGAAGCAAACAGCCTCTTCTGCCACATACTCCAGCCATGATATTCTGTTTCACCACAGGCCCAAAAGCAATAGGACCAACCAACTATGGACTTAAATCTGTGAGCCAAAATAAATCTTTCCTCTTTTTAAACTGATTATCTCAGGTATTTTGTTAGAGACATGTGACTAACACTATCCTCAATACTTCAGCTGTTAATATTTTCAAGTTAACGAATGAGTCAGCCCCTACTACCATAAGGATATCATCAACTGTAAGCCAAAGAAATGGTTTTGGCTCACACTTACAAAGCCAATGAAAATGGTTCTGCCCACTATCGGGCCAACTGTGAGCATGGAATGTACACTTCAGACCCACAGAAGCTCAGATGTGAATTCTGCTCTTCCACTCACTTGCCCTTTGACCTTGGATAAATTACCACACTTTAAACCTTCTCCTAGCTCTTCTGTATAATGGGATTGTAACAGCTGCCTTTGGGGACTATTGTGAGAATTACTGATAGTAAAAAATAATTGCCTACCTAGTAGTGCATTACATGCATGTGTACGTTTAATAAACAGGTCTATAAATCTTAAGAATAAACTAAAGCCACAAAGAACATTTAATTGTAGTAATAGAATTTCTACATTTCAAGTGTACTAGAACCTGAGTTTCCTTCATGTCTGTAATAGCAAGTTACCTCCCAACAAACCATCACATTGTGCTCTAGTGTATTGGTCAGTTTTAATGAGCTGCATATATATTAACACATGCCCATGTTCAAGACATGGAAAAAATTAACTGAACCAATTTTAAAATTTATACACAAGAATCACATAATAAAATATTATCACAGAGTAAAGTATACCACTCATAAACATCTCCTGACATTATTTTATCTTATCTCTCCTTTTCCTCAATGTCTTCCTACTCATTATCTTTCTCAATGACAATAGAAATATCTCTGACAGAGTATTCTATCAAAACTTATGGCTGAGTGTCAAAATGTGATGGTTACCAGGCACCAAAAAGAATTGAGAGACCACATTCAAATATCCACAGTCATGTAGGAGCTGGGGTAAAGCTCAGTCTACCTCTCAACTAGCATGCTTGAAGCACTGGGTTCAATCCCCAGCACTGGAAGGAAAAAGAAAGAAAGAGATCCAGAGTACCAAAGACAAGAATGACTTTAGGTCAACATCTCTCCACACATCCTCCAAGCACAACACAGAACAATAAGAACAAATCAAACTGTGGTGCAAAAAGCATGCCTTCTGCTTAACCAGAAAACAGAGAATTACCCAAACTTTAAAATAACTGTAGATAAAACGTGATGAGAAAAAACACTGAAGCCCAGGAAGCAATCACTTATTCTTTACCCACCTTTGTCCTGAGCAAGGGCACACAATTATAAGTCCATGAAAAAGTATAAGGAGAAGAGAAGTAGAGAGGGATCCTAGAATTTCTCTAAAACTGTCATCAAAAAGGTGACTGTTATCCAAGTGTAAAAATGTTTTTAAAGTGACTTCTGGACAGCAAAGGAAACAATGAACAAAGTGAAGAAACAGACTACAGAATGGAAGAAAATCTTTACCAGCTGCTCTCTCACAGAAGATTAATATCTAGAATATATAAACAATCCAAAAAACATAACACCAAAGAAACCAGTCAATAAATGGGCAAATGAATCAAATAGACACTTCTCAAAAGAAGTAAAAATGGCCAATAAGTATATGAAATAATGTTCACCACCTTTAGTGTCAATGGCTAGTATCTAAATGTCCCCCAAAGCCATATATGATCACAGGTTGGGCTTTTTGGAAGTGGATGGATCTAGGGTCTGTGCTGCTGGGATCAAGGGTGTGAGTGCATTCATCCTAAAGACAGGTGGCCTGGGTGAAATATAAGGGACAGAAAGAGCAGTGGTCAGGGCTTGTTGCTTATCGCTTGCTTGTGCCTTGCTGCCTTTTGCTTGCTGTCTGCCATAAGCTGTTTCTCCTCTGCTATGCTTCCCTTCCTTGGAGCCAGCTGACTATGGACTGAGTCCTCTACAACTGTGAGCCAACTGAACCTTTCCTCCTTTAACTGTGAGTGTTGGGTATTTTGTCTCAGCAATGAAAAAAGTAACATAGTTAGCCATTTCAGGAATACAAATCAAAACTACAAAGATTTCCACTCACCCTAGTCAGAATGGCTATCATCAAGAATACAAAAACAGGGCCGGGGATGTAGCTCAGTGGTTTTGCTGCCTGCTTCGCAAGCACAAGGACCTTAGTTTGATCCCTGGTACCAAAAAAAAAAAAAAAGAATACAAAAACAAAAACCAAACAGTAAATGCTGTTGAGAATATAGGAAAGGAATGCCTCTACACTGTTGATGGGAATGTAAATTAATACAGCCACCATAAAAATCAGTACAGAGGTTCCTCAAAAGACTACAAATAGAGATACTATTTGATCCAGCTATAACACTCCTGGATATATTTCCAAAAGAATTAAAAACAGCATATTACAGGGATACTTGCATACCCATATTTATTGCATCACAATTCACAACAGTTAGAGTGGAAACAGTTTCAATGCTCATCAACAGATGAATGGATCAAAATATGACAAATATACACTGTGGAATATTACTCACCCATAAAGAAGAATGGAGTCATGTCATTTGCAGGAAAATGGATGGAACTGGAGATCATCATGTTAAGCAAATAAGCCTGACTCAGAAAGTTAAATATTTTGTTTTCTCTTACATGAAGAATAAAAGAGAAGAGAAGGAAAAAGGAGGAAGAGGATGAGGAGAAGGACAGGAAGAAGTAAGTAGTAGTGGCAGACAAGTAGAAAGCAGATTGTTAAAGAGGGGGAAGGGGTGGGGGTGGAGGAAGGAAGGAGAGAGGGGAGCAGTGGCAGAGGAAATGTGACCCAAGCGTGTTAAACACACAGACCAGGGTAACAATGAGGCCATTCCCCTAAGTACTACTTAAAAAATACGGAGGAAAGCAAGAAGCTAAAAATGAAGAGAGAAAATTAGAACGATTGTAAGTTCAAAGATATAATACATGCAAATTTTATATAATTTAGTAGCTTAGCTTAGCTACTAAATTTATTTTTAACTAAAATAGAGAACTCGGGCCAGGGATTTAGCTCCATGGTTTCGCAGCCTGCCTTGCAAGCACAAGGACCCAAGTTCGATCCCTGGTACCAAAAAAAGAGGAAACTCAGTGAAAAAGTAAATCAAGAATTTTGTATCTAACCAAGTGCTCTCCAAGCATCAAGGCTGTAGAAAAACTATTTTAAATATACAAGAATTTGTGGAATTCTGGGCCCATAAGCCTTTCTTGAAAAATCTACTAGGGAACAAGTTTCTTCCAAGAGATGACCAGGAAATGTTATCCAAATAACTGAAAGTGACCATCTTCATGAAATTACCAATCTAGAACTAAAAGAAGAGTGGGAAATGTGCAAATATTATGGGCTTTGAAAAAGTAGCAATTATAGAACTACAAAATGGAAAGCAAGGAAGAAGGATGAGGAAAGTAAAATAATCATTATTGTATTTTGAACACTAGAATTAACACTGAAAATATAACAACTGTAGCTACCTATGCACCAGCAAACAATGTAAATATCTTCATGAAACAAAAACTACAGGAGATGCAGATTGACACACTAATAATAGGAAAATTTTACACAACCACTCTCAGAGTAGATAAAAATAATCAGGAATATAGAAGATTTAAACAACAAAAATCAGAAAACTGATTCCACC